GCAGGAATCCACATTAGTCTAAATTCCTCAGGAAACTAAGGCAGGCAGTGAATCATGTATTTACAGTATATGGTGGATTTATTCGTAGCACATTTCTTTTTAGCTTCTCCTTTCCTTAATCCGGCTCCTCTCTGTATAGTCTAGCACTGCAACCAATTAGGATGTTTATAAACTCAGACTGCTCTGTATGGCCGTGACCTTCTCAGACGCACACCAAAATGCCTTCTGCCTCACCCTCCAGATAACAGTTAGTTTGATTTACAATTGGAAATTCCTCATAATTTACCACTTCAGTCCTTAAAAATACTACATAGCAAAGGTGAAGTGTTCACTAGGGTGATGGGTTTTCTTTAACTTTGTCCACCACTAATCTTTTTGAAGTTACCTTTTTTAAAAAAAGTCCAGATATCAAGTTCCCCTGGTGGTTACCCTTTAGCTCATAGAAGTTCTAATGGAGTCACATTTCGTTTCAGTGGACCAAATTCCACGACTGTGATTTCACTCGCACTTGCTTAGTGGCCTAGACTAAGAACAGATGTGATATGCACGTTAAATGTGATCCCAAAAGCCATAAAAGAGAATGAATGTCCATCTTATATAATGTTTCTACACTAATGATAAAGTGCTGCTTGTCCACCTCATGGTACAAGTTTTCTTCATCTTTGTCAGAGGCAGAGTTGTAGCCTGAATCCTAATTTTTCTTCTCCAGCACCATATAAGATGCAAGAAAGCTACACTGCATACCTAAGGGTATTTATGAATTTGGTGTGGTAGGAAAGCTTTTCAGTGAGTGAGTAGGGTTGACAAGGACCTCCTTTTAGGGAAACTGAGTTAAAGAAATACGTCATCTTGCTCCTGAAAGGAGATTTGCCATAGAAATCTGATACTAACAACAGGCAAATCACCCTGGTATTTTCCCCAGAGATACGGTATCAAATTCCCAGCCTACCATTTTATTTTGCCTAAGTAGAACTGGACACAGGCATTAAAAATATACTGGATATCAGGACTGAATATGATTATTGTTTAGCGTATATTTTTCTCCTTTGTTTTCATGTTCTCATATGTCAGGAGGCCCTAATACCTATACTTAATACCTATTATACTAGAAGCCATATCACTAAGAATGACAAAAATGGCAACATTTATCTAACATTTACTATATAACAAGCACTCTCATAAACTTTACATTCGGTATCTTCTAATGAGTGACTGATCCTTCCTGCTTTATTTTCTCCCCATAATAACTGTTAGTGCCTTTTAGAATAAAACTTTGTTCTTCCCTTAGATATTCAAGAGTTTTGCCTTTCTTCCTGTTTTCCTCAATTCAGGCCATTTTTCTTTTTCTTTTTTTCTTTTTTTTTTTTTTTTTTTTTTTTTTTTTTTTTGTTACGCGGGCCTGTCACTGTTGTGTGGCCTCTCCCGTCACGGAGCACAGGCTCCGGACGCGCAGGCTCAGCGGCCATGGCTCACGGGCCCAGCCTCCCCGCGGCATGCGGGATCCTCCCGGACCGGGGCACGAACCCGCGTACCCTGCATCCGCAGGCAGACTCTCTACCACTGCGCCACCAGGGAAGCCCAGGCTCTTTCTTTAAGATAGTGTATTTTCTATTGCTGTCAGTGGAATTTTAGCAGGAATATCAAATGGCAGCTATAACCTCTTCAGACAAAAACTGACCTATTACTTTGAAGACAACTTGAGGGAGACCTACCTCCTTGTGTTTAATTACATTAGTTTTTTCTTCCTTTTTTTCCCCCTCAACAGAATCTTCGAAATGACCTGTGACCAACTTTGTTTTACTGCCATTAGAACCTTTCCTACACAGTGACATTTTTCCATTTCAGAAAGATGGTCCTCTTCTTGGCTTAGCCCTTTAGCCATTGTGAAAACATCTTTGCTTCATTCATGCTTCCCAGGGTTTTAGGTCTATGGGTTAAGTTTCACTCCAAGTATGACATTTAGAGTGCACAGTGTTTTATAATCTTTTTCTTTCAGTTCCAAGAGATGTGCTCCTTCCCCATAAACCAGACCCCGAAGTCTCTCAGAGCGAACCTGGTAAATGAATTGTTTTACTTTCGCAGTTAGGAAGTGTATTTTTCGAAAAATATCCTTGAGGTAAATATATATTTGGAATGATTGTGATATGAAAGAAGTTCAGAGAAAATTATGGATAGAAAATGTGTATTTCTTTTGGGGAGTTTTAATCATACAATCTGCTTGACAAATTTTTCCCCATGAGAGAATAGTGTAGAATTAGTTTATTTTCCCTGAAAGTATTTTTGTTGAATAGAAAATCATGCTAAAGTTATAAGATATAATTATTACCTGAGCCAACTATTTTCACCTTCTTTCAGAATGTAAATATAGCTGCATTCCAAATGTGGGTATACTTTTAAGTTAAAAATATGGGTGCCTAATCAAATTTTCCTCATAGTGACAGTGAACGAAAACTTTAAAGTTTTAGTTGAACTGAGTTCCCTGGGTGTCACCTAAGGTATAGAATTTTCTCGTATTTATTATGATTCTAAGAGAATGTTTAAATGTTCAAACGGGTGCATTGTAGAGACACAGAAACTGGGTTTACTTCACCAGGTAGTAATTCTCATAAATATATTTCTTTGGTTTGCTTTTGGCCTAGTTCTGCAACCTGTTACCTTTAGAATTGATCTGCCAGAGACAACACTAGGTAATGGTTTTCCCATTTGACCCACTCTAATTATTTTCCTGGCTGCCATCAAGATTGCAGGTCTTTCTCAAATGATCACATTGAAACATCATCTGTCCTCAGTCCTCTTCATTGTTTCATTCTCATTATTTTTACTCTTTCCAAAATAGAAAGGCAGTGGTTTCAAAATAGAAGGGCAATGTTCTAAAGGTTTGCTCTGAAGACCAACTTAAGACAGCTCACTACCGAGCCCATTCTCACCTACCTCATTTGTCTCTGTGTTCAGACTGGTTCCACCTTACTCACGCCCACCTAGTTAACTTTTTCTGCTGGTTTAGTGGTTCTCAGCTGTGGTGTTATAACCCACTACCATATTGTGGAAGATGCTGGCAAGTAATTATTATTAATATTGGTCAAAATACTAAAGTTTGCCACCAGTTTATTTTTAGAAATAAACTTGAGCAGACGCCAGGTGCTTGCCACAGTGATGATATTCTCTCTCCTGTTGTAATCCTATGTGCTCTCTTGGATGGACGAACTGCAGCTGACAGTCAGACCAAGGATCATGTCTCACCCACACCCATCTTAACCAGCTATGGTCATAGAGTATGTCAAGTACTGAATGTCATTTATTATCTATCCTGGTGGAAAAAACAGTTGAGAACCATTATTCTAATGTTCCACAATCATCTTCCTGAAGGTTCTATGCACACTTAACTTTCTTCTTCCTGACTCACTTAATGTTTTCTGTTTTTCTATTTCAAATAAAGGAATCTCATGTAATATTATTCTGGCCGGGTGCTGGCTTTTCAATCTAAAGATTGACAACCGTGGTACTTGTCTTTTCAGCTCCTTTAGAGACACGAGGCAGCCCTTTCATTCCTATGATTTCACCGAGTTCCAGTCAAGAGGAACTACAAACCACTCTGGGTAAATTTTGTTTTACTATTTGAGTCCAATGAGGACTTAACATTTTAGGAATTGCCCTTAAAGTAGCCATATGTACATTTGTGTTCATAGATTTCCAAACCACAGAGGGTCTCTTTTTATCATTATAAAAAAATACCCATTTCACTTGATTCTTTTACATTAACTGTATATTTGTCCTTCTAATATTTATGCTGATTTCTAATGTAAAATGAGAATATTTTGAAACATCTTGACAAAATTCAATTTTTTTTTTTTTTTTTTTTTTGGGGTCCACAGGCCTCTCCCTGCCGTGGCCTCTCCCGTTGCGGAGCACAGGCTCCAGACACGCAGGCTCAGCGGCCATGGCTCACGGGCCCAGCCGCTCCGCGGCATGTGGGATCCTCCCGGACCGGGGCATGAACCCATGTCCCCTACACTGGCAGGCGGACTCCCAACCACTGTGCCACCAGGGAAGCCCTCCAATTATTTTTTAAAAAAAGAATCTTCCCAAAGTATATCAATGCTATATTCTTTTGTTGCTTTTTCCATATTTGGAAAGAAAAATTTCATCTAGTATTTGAATATCTTTTGGGGGCTAACTGCAATGCCAAGCAATAGGAATTCCAAAATAAAACTGTTTTAAAGGTTACCCTGGAGAGCTCACCATCTAATATGAAGACAGGATTTAGCAGTAGCTGTGCTTCCTCTGTGCTACCCAGTGTTCTACATGTACTTTTAAATTTAAGGCACATAACAACTTTGTGAGGTAGTTTCTATTACTTGCCCCATTTTACAGCTTAGAAAATTGAGGCACAGAAAGATTTAAAAATCTGGTTAAGCCACACAGCTAACGTCAGAGCCAAATTGGAACCCACATACTCAGTCACCAGAGCTCCTGGAATTCACCCCCATGTTATACAATACAATGAATTCATAGAGAAATGAGCAGCATGCTGAGCAAGGAAACTACCTGGGGGTATCAGGGAAGGCTTCACAGAGGAGGTGACATGTATGACAGGTCTTCCAGTTGGAATGAGGGTTGAAATTAAAGGTGTGAAAGGTTCTTTCAGGTTAAAGACAGATAGGGAAGAGACACAGGGTAGAGAATGGCAGCCAGACTAATCTGATGAGCATCTGGGTAGCCTGGAGGAACACAGATGCATGAATGAGTCAGTAAGGTTGGTTGGAATGAGCTGGCCAGGCTTTTGAAGAGTTCAGCACCAATGTCTTCACTGTGTGGGAAACCCAATTTTGCCTGACACTTGGCTGAAGACCAACTGGAAAACAAGAGTTCCCAGCTTGTGTTTGTTGGCTTCTCTGCCCTGTCCATGCTACATCCCACATGGCTGTTTAAATCAGTGGCTTTATTTTCCTCCCTTCACCCATTTTCAGATAAACCCATCCTTTGTGTGTGTCTGCTGAAATGAAGTTACTGATCACATTTTAAAATGGAATCCTTTTCAAAGGAAAAAATTTTAAACTGAATGAACAAATGTATCCTAATTACCAAATACTCATCTATTGTAGCCTAGGCCCTCAAAGTCAACATTACCCACGATGGCAAAGTCAAAAGTACTTATCAAGAACCAGTGCTGGATGGGCTAATTATCTAAATTCCAATCCCTGTTTTTTTTTTAATGTATCTCAGTTTACTGGACCAACTATCATAATAATCTCTCTTATGAGCAGAATCCAGATTATAAAGCAGGCAGAAAATAAGATGACAACATATTATTTGCACCAAGTATTTCCTTGGATCCAGTATGTAGCAAAGTGAACAGTGTAATTTGCTATTCGGTATGATGTTGTAATGATTTCAAGATAATATGGGACTGGGAGTATTGCCATACTTATTTTTATTTTGTCAGGAGTAATGCACCAGTATGTCAATAAACAAACTTTGATTTTCACATGAGATAAATAGGATATTTATTCTTCTATGGTGTAAATACACATTATTTTCTATGATCTATTTTTTTCCCAGCTCACCTAAATAATTTGTGGAGCTCATGAAACAGGGAGGAAACATGAAGGCAATAATACATAAAGACAGGAGGCATATCCAAGAATATAGCCATGTCCAGTATCATGAAACAATGATTCTGAACTAAAAGCTTTTGAAATCCTTATAATAATCATTAAAATAATAGTGCAAGAAGGCAGTAAATATAATAAATGAGAGTTATTAAAATATACCATTGTCTTTGACATACGATGGTTATTGGGCATAGTTATTAATGCAATTTACCCTTTTATCACCGCACGGGATAGAAAAGAGTAGGGTTTGTTTGTTTTCTTTTTGACCCATTCATAATGATAATCATTTAAAGCCAGCCATCTTACTGTGTTTCCTCCAGCAGAAACAGACCAGTCCACCCAAGAACTCTTCACAACTAAGTTTCCACGAACAACTGAATTGGCAAAGACAATTCAGGGTAATGCTGTTTCCCCACCTCTGGATAGTAACTTTTCCTTCTTTTTTAAGCAGGAAGAAAATTGTCTTTTAAGAATGTAATTTTTCATCACAGTGAGTTAAGTTTTTTCATTTCATAGGTACAGGACATCAGCCAAATAGGAATATCTGTATGAATACCAGTTGAATGTAGGAAAGACAATTCCTTTCGTTAGAGCTGTGCTTTTGAATGTATGGTTGACTGCTTCATGCTGATGACTAAGAAAGAGCCCCCATTTTTTTTCCTTGCTTGACCTTCTTTTGCCTCATTTTCCACATCAGATAAATAAGAATCTTTATTACCCTCCTCCTCCTCCTCCTTTCTCTCTGTCTTTTTCTCTCTCTGTCCCATCTCCCAAACTTGATCAACACGTTGGTATTGTGGCCTGAGAAAGGAAACTCGTAACAAGAAAAATCATTTTTTAATGATGAATTAATATTAAAACATCCAAGAAGCTTTATTCGGGGGTCTCCTTATATTATTTTTTCCTTCTACTTTTTGGGAAGTTAACACCTACACAGAGCTGTCTCTCACATCTTCATGCTCTCGGTAGTCTTTCCTTTTTATATCTTTCTGTCCTACTTGGATTGTAACCAGTTGCAGATTTCTAGTATTTTCGTGTTTTCTTTTTTTCCCCTTAATTACGCTCTTTTGCCCATGTCTACCTCTAGCATATGGGAGAAAGCCCAAAAAGCAAGAGCAAATAATTTTTAAAGAGTTGTAAGACAAATTTATTGTACTCAATTGTCAGTTATCATTGGGGAGGGAGATTTGTGGAAGAAACAAAGCAATATGAGGAAATGATAATAAAAGAAATCTAATTTTAAGGTATATATTTTATAATAAGCAGAGCAGTACTTGTTCTAAATAAACATGACTGACAATACTCTCTCTATGGTACAAGACAGTTCTTGTAAATTTTGTAAAACTTTTAAACTTGTTTCATTTAATTTTTATAATGGTTTAAATGTTTATTTTATTATTGACTTTCTACTTATTTTTTAAATAAAGTTAATATACACAGAAGTAAGGAGCCAATATAATGACAGCCCTCCCACACCCTCATTACTAGCTTCAGCCATTAACAGCAGGTGTTCAATCCTATTATATCCATACCGCATCCTGATTTTTATATGTTTATTTTTTAATGTTTTTGCAAACCTCTTTAATGTCTGGCTTGATAGAAGATAGCTGGATTCTCATAATCAAACACATTGATGTTTTTACAGCAAAACATATAAATACTTACAATAAGCAGCGTAAACACTTTATTCAGCTCAGGTTGTATTGCCAAATGAGAAAAAGATTTCAGCTTTTTTTTTTTTTTTTTGCGGTACACGGGCCTCTCACTGTTGTGGCCTCTCCCATTGTGGAGCACAGGCTCCGGACGCGCAGGCTCAGTGGCCACGAACCCGTGTCCCCTGCATCAGCAGGCGGACTCTCAACCACTACGCCACCAGGGAAGCCCCAAGATTTCAGCTTTTTAAAGCTTTGTAGATTTCAGAATTGAGGATAAGAATCATAGACCTGTTCTTTTCTTGTTTTTGCTTTTTCTTACTTTAATGGGAGTATCAATATTTTTATCAAATTTCTTCTAGACCATGGTTTTATTAGATGAGTTTCACAGTTGATTGGTTGTATATCCGGGATCTGATATCATTCTATGAATTGTCTTGACATATTTATATAATGTACTGTATTTTAATTACTTTCTTATGTTCTGAAGATCCTTAGCTTGAGCCTAACTTGTGCAGCTCTGGGATTCACACTTTTCTAGACTCATGCCAAGGCTCTCTAAAGTGGGCTCACCAGAAATGCATTTCCAACCTGGTCCAGGCCAGTAACCCTTCTTGGGAGTAGAGGGTCAACTTTAGTAACAGCACACTGTGTGTCCTAGGATCACCCTCTGACCCAACCCTCATAAACGCGTGCCTGAGCTCTATGGACAAGGAGGTCAATCTGCTGTATTAGTTTTATTGTGTTGTGTTTTGTTTCTAATAGTAGGTATCAGATGTGCAAGACAGCACACAACAGTTTGAGAGATGCTGTAGGCGTGAAATTGTTTCTCTTGGTCTTCATACTTCACCCACGCATGTACCAGGACCTTGTGGCTTTTTGGTCTCCAAGCCCTCAGCAGTGGGGCCCAAGTGCTCCAAAGAAACGCAGTGCCTAAAGCCTACAGCATGAACCTACTAGTAGGATCTCCGGCACATTTTCTCTGTGTCATTCTTGCTTCTTTGTCTGCTGATACAATTCCCTGCAGATATAACCGAAACCCTGACCTACTCAAGCTTCTCTCCTTTTCCCCTCTCATCTCAACCCATGGTAGAAATCCACTTGGCCAGAGGCATTCTGGGGACTTTTTGATTATTTTACTTATTTCAGCCCCCTGATCCGTATGCCACCCAGGGCATAAGGGGTCCCTGGGTGTACCCTTGTACCTTGTACCCTTCTTTCCCTCTCTGGGCAAAGCAAAGGTCCTTCAAGGTATTTCTCCTGTAATCCTTGTTTGTCTATTTTTGATGTTATCTTTGTCAAGTATTTTTAGTGTTCTTTTTAAATAATTTTTATAAAACTCTTTAGATATGAAGCCATCTTTTAAAATTATTTTTATTATTAGTCACCAAAAACTATGTGGAGATGATATTTACAATGTTACATTCTCACAATGCACCTTTGTCTTTTTTTTTTTTTTTTAGTTTAAAATTGAAACCCTCAAGCAGTTTTCTCAAGGCCATGTGTTACCTGGTGATGAGCTATGTGAATAACTCACAGCCCAAACATAAGTTATATTTCAGCTCCTTTATAAAAAGTTCTTTCAAGATTTAAGTAAAGACTGTATAAAAAATAAAACCAAAATTCTGATCCTGTGGCTTTGAAATAATGAATGTAGTGCTGATTATTTCTACACTCTGTTTCTTTTCTAAAGTTTTAAAATTCATATGTGTTCTAGAATGATACTAACGAGAGACATGATTCTTATATTTCTTTAAGCAAAAGCAATCTAACATTGAAGAAATTAACAAGAAAGCTGAAATATGTTCAGCTGACAGGGAATCCTACCACTCTCAAAGAAAATTGAAGAAAAACATTTGCAAATCATTATCACACATTTTAGGGCATGTGAGAATTGATTATTTTTAAATAAATCAGTACCTCTGTTCACTCTAGTTATTGCACTTTGAAAGGAGCACATTAAACCTACAGAGAATTTCAGTATGTGTCTGCTGGTTTTGGCCTGAGTATGGCAAAATTCTACTCATCAGTCCTCACATAGGAAGTTTATAAATGAGCTACATTATAATCTGTTTTGCAGGTGTATTTTTTAATGTGGTAGGCAAGGCATTTGCTGATTTATGGTTACATAAATACCCATTCAGTATGTGAACAAAATCATTGAAATGGTGTAATCTACTTAACAAAGTTTGCAAGAAAATTTTTTCCAGTCTTAGCTAAAGCATTACCAAGAAAGTTGGTGGCAGGAAGCAACGTGGTGTGTCAAGGGTGGCAGAGGAGGGAAGGCAAGGATAGACACATCCCAGGATGGATGCACGCTTTAAAAGCTTAGGGAGCAAGAATATTTCAGCTGAGTTTCTCATGAATTTGCCTGCTTACAATGGTCACTAATTTTTTAAATGTATTTGACAACTCTTCATTAATGGTCCTCACTGTGCCAGGCCCTGGATAACAGGAGCAGGAAGTAACAAGGTGGCATGTTGGTCCAAGGGCTGTCTGAGTTCTTGATCTTTGCTCACCCTCTCTTGATGGGCAGGACACCAGAGGTCATTTTCTCTCATCCCTAAAGCTTTAATGGATGGCACTAAGTGAGTATTTATTCACTTCCAGGTTCATGAGCTAAGACAATTAGATACAGACCACATGTTTCTACTCTTTTCTTCTTACATACCTAAAAATATTTTTTCTTTCTGCCTTTAATATTATTTGTCTCCTTTGGCAAAATAATGTTTCACAGTGACTCCCTAATTGAGAGATGTGAATGGATGGATGGATGGGTTGATGGACGGATGAACAGACACATGGATGGATGGAGGGGTAGATGGTTGGCTTATATGTTTACCATATTAAGCAACCATGTGGTGAAATAAATGCCCCTGAAAAACATGGACTAACTGATGACTAATCCTTAACACACATTACCAAAGACCTACCTCACTTTGACTGTGTGCATCTTTAATTTCCAGGCATGAATATTTTCACTTGCTTTTATTCCTTCAGCATCAATGCTGTAGTGCATACTTGGAGATTTAAGAATATTCTTTATACTTCCATGCAAAGTGTACAAGTTGTTGGTCTGTAGAGTACTAAATCTCCATTTATTGAGCTCAGGATTGCTGGTTATTAAATGTGAAGTGTTTCCTCTGTTCCAGCACCACACAGATTGTATACAACTCCTGTGAAGCCCAGAACACCTGACAAACCACACATCAGACCTGGTAAGTTGTTTCTCTTTCTGATGACCTAAATAATCAGCATATCTAAGAAGATATAAAATGTATTGAGGAATTCCCTGGCAGTCCAGTGGTTAAAACTCCACGCTTCCACTGCAGGGGGCACAGGTTCAATCTCTGGTCAGGGAACTAGGATCCCACATGCTGCATGGCACTGCCAAAAAAAAAAAATATTGAAACAGCCAAATATACCAAATGAAGGCTATATATCCTTAGACTGAAATAAATTACATACAAAATTCTGATCCTTGTGGGTAAGTAGAGAGGAAATCATGAATCCATGGAAGTGGCAAGACTTGACTGAGATTTTTAAGGATAATCAGATTTAGATACCACCACGGAAGCTTAACAATATAAAAGCATTTTTAAAATAGTATTTTTGCATAAATCACACACACTCTCCCCTCCTCCTTCAGTTTTCCATGGCAGTTAGAGAGATAGCATTAGCATTAGCTATGATATATTACATGTTTCAAATGTTATCTTTTAAGAAAAGACCTCTTCCATTATAAAAGACTTGTTCTGGGAGAATATTTTTACTTGATTCTTTCAGATTAAAAAAAATTTTTAAAACACGTTTTACAGGTTGCAAACATCAAGGTAAAGTGATAATAAACTGGAAAATACTTTTTTTTTTTTTTGGCCACAACATGCGTCTTGCAGGAACTTAGTTCCCTTACCAGGGATCGAACTTGGGCCCCAGCAGTGAAAGTGCTGAGCCCTAACCACTGGACTGGTAGGGAATTCCCAGAAAATACTTTAAATCTACTAAATTCACCAAAGGATTTAGGATCTCCCTCACTGGAGCTTGTTAGTGAAAAGTTAACTTGGGGGTTGATTTGGTCCATATAAATCACTCCTACGCTAACATACAAGTTGGACCAGAGACTCTGGTGTTTTCTGCCCCTTTTCTCCTCTGTGATTCTAAGAAGTTTTAAAGTTCTAAATGAAAAAAATGGCTTATAAGCTAACATTCCCGGTGAACATCTCTCCAGGCACATGGAAGAAAGAACAAATACATTTTTCTTTGCTTTATGGAGGAGCCCATATATTTTGGAATAATCCTCCAACTCCATGTGATTTTTGTATCATGATAACTGTTGAGAATTTAACGTGTGGCTGGTTATATTAAACATTTCAACAAAATAAGGAAACAGTAACAATAATGGCTAACAGTGATGGTGTGCTAACCATGCATCCTGTGAGGTAAGGCTGAGGAAGCTAAGGCTTAAGAAGGGCTAGGAAGTGGATTCGAAGGCAAGCAGTCTGGCTTCAGAACTCACTCTCTTAATCACGATACACTTGGTGCTTTTCCTTGAAAACTCTGCTAAATGGAAGATAAAAAGCTGACTTCAATGTTTTTGTAATATTATAACTCTCAACAGATCAGGAGAGAAATTTCAATGTTTTTATCATAGTTCTGAGTTTAACGGTGGACTTGGGCCAAGATTATGAGGGAGCATATGTACCTAGAGACTCCTCCAAAAGGACCACGAACTTATGTGTTAGGAGGCCTTGACAAATAAATACACATCAAGTTTTGGGTTTTCTTTCAGCGTATGTAGTCCTGCTCTTTCTTCGGTCCCATTTTGGAATGTATCTAGTGCTTATAAATGAAGCCAGCTAGTTCCACTTAGAAATATAAATTCCCTCTATTTTTTCAAGCCCAGTGATCACCTCAGAGTACATACTCAGGTCTCAAATTCTATGATTTTTATACCAGACTTGTGATTTCTATATTCTGAACAACAGTTTTTGGTAAGTCATCATATTTTTATCACCCAATTAAATGACTTCCAATTCTCTGGAAAGTTTTATTTTCCTTGGCTACAAATTTTCAATTAAAAAATGTCTAAACTACTTATTTCCCACTTTACTGTAGTTCTGAATAGGACAACTACAAGACCTAGTAGACCCAAACCCAGTACAGTGCCCAAAGGGAATGGAATGGAAACAGGTAATGATCACAAATTTATTTCCTTTTGATCCTATTAAACTCTAAATGTTTTCATTCAATTTTTATAATTTTGTTGAATGCATATTTCAATTTCTTTTTTACCAGTTTTTTTAGTACAGCCAGTTTTGGAAGTTCATAGAATTGAAACTTGTAATTCATTCCCAAGTCAAAATTTCAACAACAAAAAATTTTCAAATGTCTCTGAAAAGATTAAAAAATAGTTTTTCACTTTTCTCAGCCTAGTCCAGCTACAATATATAGTCTTGATTCTTAAAAATATCCTGAGTATGAATTATTGAATTAAAATATCAAAATAGCTGTTTCCCTAACTTCAAAACACTTTCTATATACAGGTTTGGTCTTTGAGACTGTTATCACTTCGTTTTCCAGTTTATAATTTCACAAGTACCACCGAAATTTTTTTAATACACCCAGATCTGTTAGCCACCTGGAATATGACATTTAAATGAGAAGAGCAGTTAGCAAATGACCACCCTGGTTACAAGTATATCAGTGTTTCCAAATCATTCAGTTTGATTCAGTGACATTGCCCTAATCCAGTCTGGTCTATGGAATATCATACAGATAAATAGAACAATGATCTGATAAAAGTTCAAACACTCAACTCACTAAATGGATAAATGGTAGTTATTAAATGCCTTAATATGGGATTGCATTGTTCCCTTGAAATATTTTTTAAATAGTGCAAATCTTGTGCCTGCTTATGTAAAAAAGCATAAAAATTACAGTTTATTTAATATGTATATATAAAATCAACCCATAGTTATTCCCTAATGAGAAAGAGATGTGAATACTACCTGAAGATGTGTATTCAGTCTAAAAATGATTTAGGGGCTTCCCTGGCGGTGCAGTGGTTGAGAGTCCGCCTGCCGATGCAGGGGACGTGGGTTCGTGCCCCAGTCTGGGAGGATCCCACATGCTGCGGAGCAGCTGGGCCCATGAGCCATGGCCGCTGGGCCTGCGCGTCCGGAGCCTGTGCTCCGCAACGGGAGAGACCACAACAGTGATAGGCCCACATACCGCAAAAAACAAACAAAAAAAACCACCAGACTATAGTGGTAGAGAAAGTGAATTGAAGAGTTGGACTCTGCATATGATGAAATTATAGGAACATCTTAAACCATTTATTTTACATATATTACGAAAAAAAAAAAAAAAAAAAAAAAAAAAGATTTAGATTTTTTTTTAAGTATGTGTTTTTGTACTCGGTTATTACAATGTCTGAAGTTCTAGGAATTCACTTCCCTTCAATTAATGAGGCAGATACTATAAATTCCTGACTCATGAAAAGAAAGCATTCCAATATCTACTTATGCTCAGCTGTTCCTTCTGTTTTTCCCAAGTGGGATTAGGCAGTTCATAGTGTCTCAGATTGACGTAAACAGTCTGGCTCTAAACAGAGCCACCTTCTTAATATTCAAAATAATTCCCTGGAGTTTGCCTAAGTAAAAATAGAAAAAAGCATTTATGTCAACAAAACAAAGAACAATAGCTATGATCAAACTTGAAAGCCATTAACCTTCAGTATAATCAAGCATTGATTCTCACAAGGAAAATTCTGTCTTTTGGAGGGAAAACAGAGCATTATTATATTTTAGTTTATTAGCAATATAAACGTTTTTTCCAGAGCCACTTGTAATACAAACTGACATCTGTTACCCTGTTGTGTAGATAAAGTCAACTTTGTAATAACTCACCTAACTTAGCTTAGGAAGGATGATCTCTTACCAGGACTTCTTCAGTTTAATTAGTTGGTTGCTGGTAGAAATAGATTGATGGATTACTGAGCCTGCATGCCACAACTACTGAAGCCTGCACACCTAGAGCCTGTGCTCTGCAAAAAGAGAAGCCACCATCACAATGAGAAGCCCACGCACCACAGTGAAGAGTAGCCCCCGCTTGCGGTGACTAGAGAAAGCCTACGTGTGGCAATGAAGACCTAAGGCAGCCAAAAATAAATTAATTAATTTTTTTAAAATGAGAAGACAGGATATTAGCAAGAATAGGAATCTAAACAGCACCATCAACCAAATAGACTCACATAATTATGGTGAAATGACGTGGGGCAAAGGTACAAAGGCAGTTCAACAGAGAAAGGCCAGTGTTTTCAACAGATGGTGCTGGAAAAACTGGATATCTATATGCAAAAACACTAAACAAAACAAAAACCAACCAACCAAGCAAATAAAAAAAGAACTCTACCTAAGCAAAAAGGAACTCAAGGTGGATCATAGATCTAAATGTAAAATGTGGGGCTTCCCTGGTGGTGCAGTGGTTAACAATCCACCTGCCAACGCAGCGGACATGGGTTCGAGCCCTGGTCTGGGAAGATCCCACATGCAGCAGAGCAACTAAGTCCGTGCGCCACAACTACTGAGCCTGCACTCTAGACCATGCGAGCCACAACTACTGAGCCCATGTGCCACCACTACTGAGCTCATGTGCCACAACTACTGAAGCCCGCATGCCTAGATCCCCTGCTCCACAACTAGAGAAGCCACCTCAATGAGAAGCTCATGCATCGCAATGAAGAGTAGCCCCTGCTCGCAGCAACTAGAGAAAGCACACGCGCAGCAGCGAAGACCCAACACAGCCAAAAATAAATAAATAAATGAAATTTATTTTAAAAAAAGAAAAGACATAGGTTGATAGGCATAGGTAAACAAAGCTGAGCTCATTGTTTCCCCTTTCCTTGCTCCACTACCATCCCCAATCAAAATGTGTTGCACATGTTCTATGTTCTGATGTCTGTCTATTGGGATCCCCCTTCAGGGAAGGACTTGCCTGACCTACCTGAAGGGAATGAAGTCAACAGACAGTATCCCACTGTCATATCCTTCACAGTCAGCCTCAGCTGAGAGAGCCTTGATTGGAGATATAGGTGGTACATCTCCTTGTCTACCACAACATATAACAAACAAATGATATTTACCTCAGGAATGAAAGATTGGCTTAACATTCAAACAAATTAGTGTAATTTACCACATTAACAGAGCAAAGGAAAACA